TAGTTTATAATTCAAACAACTGTTTAATTTGGAGATGTTCAGTTTATAACAAACTAATGTTTAATTTGGTAGTATGTTCAGTTTATACACAAACAACTGTTTAATTTGGAGATGTTCAGTTTATAAACAAATAACTGTTTAATTTGAAAATGTTCAGTTTATACACAAACAACTGTTTAATTTGGAAATGTTCAGTTTATAAACAAATAGTTGTTTAATTTGGAGATGTTCAGTTTATAAAGAAACAACTGTTTAATTTGGAGATGCTCAGTTTATAAACAAATAACTGCTTGATTTGAATATGTTCAGTTTATAAACAAACAAACTGTTTAATTTGGAGATGTTCAGTTTATAAACAAACAACTGCTTGATTTGAATATGTTCAGTTTATAAACAAACAAACTGTTTAATTTGGAGATGTTCAGTTTATAAACAAACAACTGTTTAATTTGGAGACGTTCAGTTTATAAACAAATAGTTGTTTAATTTGGAGATGTTCAGTTTATAAAGAAACAAACAAGAACAGACTCATTCTTGAGCTACATTCCACAATGAAGCCATTCGTAAGTTAAACTCCTTCGTAATAGTTTTGAATTTGTTTTTCAGCGGTGAAACCCAAATTTTTGGAAACTTTTCGAGAAGAGATTGTTTACCCAAGTTCCGATATTTCACTAAAATGCGTGGCCCAGGGACAGCCTCTTCCCAAAATCACGTGGACACTAAATAAACAAGTTATACCGGAGAGCCGGAGAGTTCGACAAGGAGACTTTGTTACAGAAAAAGACACGGTTCACAGTTACGTGAATATCACGCAAGCGGAACTAGGCGACGGCGGTGACTTCACGTGCATCGCGGAAAACGATGGCGGGAAAGTTGCAAGCGTGGCTCCGGTAAAGATTTACGGCCCGCCGACCGCACTACCGCCTCGCGACAGAACTATCATTGCGGGAGCGACAGAACATTTTAAATGTCCAGTGGCTGGATATCCTTTGGTCACCTTCTCTTGGAAGAAAGGTAAGATTGATTATTTCACCAACGGATAGAATTTTCTGACGTTTCCATAGAAACAAAAGATGTTGAATAATTTCTGGCCACAGTCACATTCGAAACTAATATTAAAACTAGAATGACTACCGGTATGAGTATTATAATATTAACGAGAAGATTGCCGGTGTCTGTCTGCCGGCTCTGTTATAATGCTAACTTTATTTTTAGTGCATGATATTCAGTTTCTATGGGAACAAGAGATGCTAACGTGTACATTGAACAGTGTGTAAACGTAGGAGAGTGAAACTTCTAATTATCGTTGTTGGAAGAAGAAAATACCACTGAGTAGCTATTGTGTTAAATATAACTCGATTTTCAACGATAAGTGGGAGTAGGCCTAAACAACAAAAATAATAATACCTTGGTGTGAGTGTGTGAAAAACACCTAGCTAAAAATGTAAATAAAATTGTCAAAATACGTAGTTTAAAATGTAAGTAAAAAGGGGATAGTTGCCTGGTGTGTGTGTGAAAAACACCTATCTACAAGTGTAAACAAAAGGGTCAAAATACGTAGTTTAAAATGTAAGTGTGTGTGAAAAACACCTAGCTAAAAATGTAAACAAAAGGGTCAAAATACGTAGTCTAAAATGTAAGTGTGTGTGAAAAACACCTAGCTAAAAATGTAAACAAAAGGGTCAAAATACGTAGTTTGAAATGTAAGTGTGTGTGAAAAACACCTAGCTAAAAATGTAAATAAAAGGGTCAAAATACGTAGTTTAAAATGTAAGTAAAAAGGGGATAGTTGCTTGGTGTGTGTGTGAAAAACACCTAGCTAAAATGTAAATAAAAGGGTCAAAATACGTAGTTTAAATTGTACGTAAAAAGGGGGATAGTTGCCTGATGTGTGCGTATAAAGAACGTGTAGCTTAAAGTGTAAAGAAAAGGGTGAAATAACATATTTTAATATGTAAGTAAAAAGTGGGATAGTTTCCTGGTGTCTGTGTGAAGAATACTTAATTCAAAGTGTAAACAGAAGGGTGAAAAATACGTAGTTTAAATTATAAGTAAATAAAAAGGGGGATAGTTGTCTGGTGTGTGTGTGAAGAATACTTAATTCAAAGTATAAACAGAAGGGTGAAAATACGTAGTATAAATGCAAGTAAAAGTGGGATAGCTGTCTGGTGTCTGTGTGAAGAATACTTAATTCAAAGTGTAAACAGAAGGGTGAAAATACGTAGTATAAATGTAAGTAAAGAAAGGTTATAGTTGACTGTGTAAATACATATTAAAATGACAAATGTTTACTTAAAGAAAAGAAATTTGATACAGCGACATGCCTACTGTACTGAATATTTTCATCCATAGAGAAGGACAAACATTGGTATGTTCTTCGACTAAAGTTTGGATAACGGTTTCAATGTGTTATGTACCAATAGATATAAATAATCAAACTCAGCGTGCACATGGTATTTACAAAGGTTTTTAATTACTGGAATTTCTAATAGCAACAATGAAATAAAGATTTAGTTTGAAAATTGAAAGAATATATTTTTAACCTTATTTGAAACTGTTTTATGCGTAAAATCTGTAATATGATGACCTTTAATTAATTACACGATAACGTGATGACCATTAATTATTTACACGATACGTGATGACCTTTAATTAATTGCACGATAAGTGGTGACCATTAATTAATTACACGATAACGTGATGACCTTTAATTATTTACACGATAACGTGATGACCATTAATTAATTACATGATAACGTGATGACCATTAATTAACTGCACGATAACGTGATGACCTTTAATTAATTGCACGATAAGTGATGACCATTAATTAACTGCACGATAACGTGATGACCTTTAATTATTTACACGGTAACGTGATGACCTTTAATTAATTGCACGATAAGTGGTGACCATTAATTAATTACACGATAATTTCTATCACTTTCACGTTTATATCTATATACTTCTGTGTTTAATTTTAGACTGCTTACTTGTGGTTCTTCCCAAGATACCTAAGTGTTTTGACGTAGATGTACTGGTTTGATTAATGTAATTTTATTCATCACAACAGGCCTATTATAGCAGTCAGAACTGCCACTAATGATTGATGTTTTGTTTAATACTCATCAGGGAAAGATGTTCTTCCCTCCAGCAGCCGCCATACATTGAAAGACACGGGGGAGTTTGTCCTGCACGCTGCTCACAAGAGTGTAGATGAGGGATCCTACATCTGCACTGCGTGGGGTCCGAACGGCGACTCAGCTGATGGGGTTGTAAATCTTCGTGTAGCAGGTTTGTAGGGTTTCCGTTCTTTTGTATATTTAATTAACAAGACAGCGATACCACTAACTCCTTATCATATCTTACTGATTAATAAAGATATACTAACGTAACACAAGTTATCCCTATATCATCACCAGGGCGCGCTCATAATGAAGACAGTGCTTTGTTCTGGTTCTTTGTATGTGTGCACGCAGAACCTGCCAGGGTCTATAGCCAAATAATGGTATATTCTAGGTTGAATTGTATGTAATTATATCCAGTATAATGTATCTGTGTGAATGTGTGTACGTATGGATCTGTGTGAATGTGTGTACGTATGTATCTGTGTGAATGTATGTACGTATGTATCTGTGTGAATGTATGTACGTATGGATAAGATCCATACGTACGTACATTCACACAGATCCATACGTACACACATTCACACAGATACATACGTACACACATTCACACAGATACATACGTACACACATTCACACAGATACATACGTACATACATTCACACAGATACATACGTACATACATCCACACATATCCATACGTACATACATTCACACAGATCCATACGTACATACATCCACACAATGTAGGTATCGATCTGTGTGAATGTATGTACGTGTGTGTCTGTGTGAATGTATGTACGTATGGATATGTGTGAATGTATGTACGTATGGATATGTGTGAATGTATGTACGTATGGATCTGTGTGAATGTATGTACGTATGGATATGTGTGGATGTATGTAGGTATGGATCAATGTATGTACGTATGGATCTGTGTGAATGTATGTACGTATGGATCTGTGTGAATGTATGTACGTATGGATATGTGTGGATGTATGTACGTATGAATATGTGTGGATGTATGTATGTATGAATATGTGTGGATGTATGCACGTATGGATATGTGTGAATGTATGTACGTATGTATCTGTGTGAATGTATGTACGTATGTATCTGTGTGAATGTGTGTACGTATGTAACTGTGTGGATGTATGTACGTATGGATCTGTGTGGATGTATGTACGTATGGATATGTGTGAATGTATGTAGGTATGGATATGTGTGGATGTATGTAGGTATGGATCTGTGTGAATGTATGTACGTATGTATCTGTGTGAATGTATGTACGTATGTATCTGTGTGAATGTGTGTACGTATGTAACTGTGTGGATGTATGTACGTATGGATCTGTGTGGATGTATGTACGTATGGATATGTGTGAATGTATGTAGGTATGGATATGTGTGGATGTATGTAGGTATGGATCTGTGTGAATGTATGTAGGTATCGATCTGTGTGAATGTATGTACGTATGTATCTGTGTGAATGTGTGTACGTATGTATCTGTGTGAATGTGTGTA